AATAAATTATTGGCACTTCTCACACTTAATATTTGCAGATTAATTTCGTTTCTCAACATCTCGAACTATGATTTTGATTATTTACATGTATGTAAAACTGAATTGAAAAATAATTAAAAAATAATTTATAACTATGCTTAATTTGAATTAAAATTATTTTTATTTTATATTTCAAAAAGAATTATGAATTGATTTTAAACTATTTCCTTAAACAGTATTCTTTACATCAGAATTTTTTTTTTTTGTTACAAATTCATGCTTTAGATATATGATTCAAGAAACCTTTTAATTAATTAACTATTTTTTATTTTATATATATAAAACTTTTATAATTTCTTTTATAATTATTTGAGAAAAGCAATAGGAAGTATACGTTATTTAATAATAAGTGAAGCAAACATGTGGTGAAAGAATGCAGCGTTAACAAAATTAACAAAAAAATAAAAAAAATTTAAAATAAAAAACTGAACAAACATTTTATATTGTAAATATTAATTTAATAAAAATAATTTATGTGTTTTAATTCACTATTTAATAATCACTTTCAGTTTTTATATATATTTATATATGGTTTAATTGACATATATGGTAAATTAAAAAGAGCTTCTTTATTGTTGTCAGTAATAATCAATGTAATTATTTTCAATTTTTTTATATAATATTAAAGTTTAATTGGCTGATAAAATTATTAATAATAAATAATTATTGTTTGAGTTGGACTGAAGTAGAAGAAAAAGTTTCATCTCATCGATGAATATTTTACTGCAATATCTCTCATTTGATTTATGTAGTAATCGTTTATTTCCTACTGTTAAAGGCTCATCAATCAATTTTATACTTCAATAAAATATGTATGGGAAAGAATACTTCATTAAAAGACAATAAATTTGAAATATAATCTTATTAAGATAATTTTTTTATTTTAGCAAATAAACTATTTATTGAGCAATAAGCAAGACATGTTGATGACTCCATTTCTCATCCGATATATAATATAATGGCAATACTTTCTCAAAAAACTAACTAAGTAATCAGTTGATCTTCTCTACTATCTATAATTATAGTTTAGTAAGTTTTATCAAATATCTGGAATTATGCATACATATATATATATATAATGAGCTAATTTGCAATTGATATTTTTTTGCAATTTGTCGTTTAATTATTCTAAACATTCTATTAGAATTGTCAAAGTACATCAGAATCTCATTAAAATATTTGACCCTATGACAAGACATCTATTTTAGATAGAAGAGTATGTGAAACTGCGGAATCTAAAAGTTAGAATCTGAAAATTTAAACTCTTTTTTAAGTGAGATCTAAAGAAACAGATGTATCCACAAATATCAAATTTATATGAAACTTCATATATTGCAGTATAAAAGGTAATATTTGGATATGTTAAGGATGAGTGCTGATAGAACTAACAATATTTCAACTCGAAGACGTGTGATGCATTAGAAGTATCTATAATCTAGGAGAAGAGAAACCCAAATAGACAAGGTTTGAGTTAAATTTTTATTTATATATTCATTCATATAGTATGCTTGAATAATAAATATACATTAAGTGATAGTTACCGTAGATATTTAGACCAATTAAGAGTGCATATCACATAAATATTCATTTATATTTTGCTAGATATTCATATCAATTAAGAATGCAAATTACATAAACATTTATAAATAAATGTTTATAAAACCTTATAATAAAAAATTATAGAAAAATATAAAAGTGGGAATAATGGCAAAAAGTTCAAATTTTTTTATTTAATAATAAAGTACTTGATAAGTTAATTAATAATCAATTATCTGGTACTTATTGACAGAGAAAAGAAAACGAAAACTGTTTACCAGTAGAAAAATTGTTATAATTAATCAAATATTATCAAACCCGCAGAATATTCATTGCGAAGATGATAAAAATTCTTCCCAGGAGCTGTATATTTTATTGCAATTTATTATTTATGGTATCTAATTAAAAAATGTTATAATAATAATCTAACAAGTACGTCACTAATAAAGATTTGTTCTGATCCAATCTTAATGTATGTTCTTAATGTATTTGTGTTCTATTTACTGGGATTTCAATACTTTTCATATCATTTTCTCAATTATAATTATTACTCAAATAAAATAATATAGAAAAAATTTTTATTTCATCAATGAAACAAATAAATCCTTTAAAGCTAAATCTGAGTATGTTAGCCACTGGACTATAAAAGCTATATTGCAATAACTAAATAAAAAATTAATGATTAAAAGAATTTATAATAACATAACTACAATATCACTATTATAATTATAGTTTATATTAAAATATGTAAAAAAATGATGTTATTTCCTAATAAGGTTTAAAATAAAATAATATTTATTTTATATATAAATACACGTAAAACTACAATGGTATTTATGCTTAAACGAATAATTACCTAACTGAAGGTCTTTCATCGGATGAAGAAATACAAATCAGTTGAATATGTTTAATATTATTAAAATGCTCGACTTATTCAATAATCGGAATCAGAGATATAACCTGATTCATAAAAATTGCAGCATAGATTGCGGTACTTAATACCTCAACTTAATAAAAATATTAATAGTTTACTAAAATCTTAAGACATTAGAACTGTGTTGTAAACCTTTTAACACTTCATTAAAATAAAGTTCCAAAAAAACAATAGTCAAGTACCAGCTTACTGCACTCAAATTGTATTTGAAGACATATGAAATTGATTTTTAACGCTCGTTTTTACAACAGAAACTACATTCATTATATAAATTATTGTTTTCAATAAAGAGGTTTGACGTAATTTGAAGAGAAAATTGGAATCAAAGATATTATCTAAAACAATGTTAGGATTAAAATATATCAATAAACTGCAGTACGATATCTCCCAACTTAATAATATTAAAAACTTACTATAATTTTAAAATTGTGTTAATTTCAAAATTAGGTTCCAAATATTTTTATATTTCAGTCAAATGCAATTCTAGAATATAATAGTAAAAAAGTTTACTGCACTTAAACTATTAAGTAAAAGAAAGTATAAAATAATGCTCAGTATCATGCTCAGTCAATGCTCCACTGATTTGAACTAATAGCGTTTATACAGAAGCCCTTTTACTAAATTCAAGAAAGCAGTTAGTGCTCAAATTCGATCTAATTAAAATATAAATATGAATTAAGTAAAAGATAAAACAACAAAAAAGTAAGAATAATTTTTATAATAAGAAAAGAGAGTAAAAGTAATTCATAGTATAATAAAAGAGAGTCAGCTAACAGCACTAAAATTGCCACATATTAAATAATAAACTGAAGAAAAAACACAGAAGAGAAATTTCATAAAAAAAGTCTGTAATATTTTGAATATTAAAATAATGTTAACATAATATAAAAAATAGTAGTACAATGCTTCAGATATAAATTACAAAATAGAAATACTATAAAAGAAAATTATAAATAAAAAATATTTTAAAAATAATAAACCAAAATTTAAAATAAAATATATATTAAAGTTAATAAAAAATATATTAAAAAATAAATTCATATATTTAAATATAATTCAAACCAATAAAAACTCAATAATTAAATATAAAATATCTTTTAATATATATCATGCATATCTGATATATATCTTTTGATAATATATCAATAAGAAATGATATACGTATAGAATAATATATATAAGTTGTTAAAGAAAAACATTTGAAATAATAAAAAAATTATTAAAAATAATAAAGAGAAAACTTTAAAGATTTAAAAAATATTATAAATAAATTAAGATATTGAAATAAAATTCAAAAAAATAATTAACTAAATCAAAAACTAAAAAATAAATAATAATTGAAAGAATTCAAGAAAGTAATTATTGAATTATTTTTTTATTTTCTTAATATATTCTTATTACTTTTTTATTATTTCTAATATTTTTTGACGGACTATAGACCAAGTACATAGTAATAATAAAACAAAAATATGAAAAACGAAGTATACAATTATAAAAATAAATTCTTAATGAAAAAGTAAAAATAATAAAATGCATATAGATATAAATAAAATTAATAATTTGAAATTACTTTATTCTATTCCTACATTGTTTGCTCCATCTTAAAAGACTTTATTTTGGAATGCGTTAAAATATAGATTGGAATAAGATATAAGTAATAAATTTTTTTTTAAGAACTTATGGTATAAAGAAAAATTAACATTATACATCTCCATAGTGTACATCATATATATTTTATATACATATAGTATATTCATACATATATGTAATAAGTATAAAAAATTACAATTTACAAAATTTTAATATTAAATATTTAAGAATAATTATAATTAAAAGTGATAGAATTGAGGCAAATGAACTTAACAATTGAGATAAATAGGTATTATAGTATAATAGATTACTTACAGTTAACACATAGAGATTACAATTTTATATCTATGTGACTTTAGAAGTTATTAGATACATAAACTATATATAATTATACATAATTGCATTTGCATAATTCACACTAAATACATACAATTTCACATTTAACATTTTTATTTTTATTTTTTTTTAATTTACATATCATGACACATATTTAAGAAAACTAATTTAAAAACATATAAATAATATTTGTATATATAAACATTATACATTATGTGTACTTTGATGAGAGATTAAGTGTCTAAATTGGTTAAACTGGTTCAGCTAAGTTTTGGCCCCTAGATAACACTTTTGACATAAAATTTTTGACCGTTTCGCTAGTTACAAATAAAAAAATACAATATGTATATTTATATATATATATAGTTTTATATAGTATAGTATATAGTATAAATGTATATGTGTATATGTACTCTATCATAATAAATAGAAGAATAACTACAATTACAGTTGAACTGCTAAACACACACAAATACATACAACTACATTTCAGTTACAAATACAAATACAATTACATTGACTTTAATTAATTAATTATTGTAATTACGACTAAATAAATGTTACCATACATTAACTATAAATTACACATATAATTACTTAATTTAATTATTAAATACTTAATTCAATTATAGTTAAAGCTAGAATTATGTTTTAGAAATGCATATGAATTGTTTGTAGTTGTTTTGTATGTTTACTATTTGTTTCTTTCTTACATGGCTAATTTCTTAGAAACTAAAAGTTTGCAACACTACGAGAGACACGAACGAGACGAACACACATTTAACAGTTTAGAACAGGACAACAGATTTTCTTCAAATCCCTTTTAAGGATATTTTAGTCTGTTTTTAGTTTTATTTTTAATAGATAATTATTTTTGATTTTATTGAAGTTGTGTTGATTTACTTTTAAAGCTTTGAGTTTGACAGTAGTTGGTACATTAGCAACGGATGTGCTAGTGAGCAAATTCATGTTTACATTTCATCCACGCAATGCTCCATGTTTTTTCCATATCAGATTGTTCCAGCATATATTATCAATTATGTTGCATTTCTTTATTTGTGCTGTCGTGATTATGTGTATCAGTCCTAGGACTTAAGACAGCTGTAGTTGCATCTATTGCTGCTGCATCTGTTGCATTTTCAACCACACCAACACTTGCATTGGTTGTGCGTTGAAAACATTCATCATTCTGACAGGCGTGCGTCAATGCATTCTCACATTGGTGTTGCTGTTGTTGCTGCTGGTGCTGTTGATGCTGTTGCTGTTGGTGTTGCTGTTGTTGCACTACAACAACATCACAATCTTGCTGAGATCGCCTTAACATAACCGCTATATAGTCGAGTGTTTTTTCAATTGCACGCAAACGTTTCTCCAGAGAAGTTGTTGCCAAGATATTGACCTAAGCATGGAGACAAAAAAAATTTATTTATTCAATAATTTGTAATTACTATATTGTTTTCGTATAAGTAATTATTTTGTAATTAATAATTAACTTAATTTTATGCTAAATGGTTGACTTAATTGTTATTGAAACAAGTTGTTTTTATCTGATCGTGCGGTGTGCATTTATGTTGTGCAGAGCAACAAAAGACACACCTCTAAGTAGCCATATATAGGCGTAGTCATAAACTGGCAGGTCATGGGGGCCGCAGTGGTTTTAAAAAAAATTACAAGAAAAAAAGATTTTTTACAAAAAAAAAATATTTTGTAAAGTCGCTTTGTAAAATTTGTCAAAAAAAAAACAAGTTGTTCCTATTAAAGAATAAAGAAAGATCCATTGACTATATATGATATTAAAAAAACCAAATAAATCATCGAGTTCAAATCGAGAATCTTTATTTTCTGAGCGTCTTTGGACGCACGTAAGTAAGTTTACTTGAAAGTTCTGAAAAACTTTGTATATTTAGAATCAATGTTAACACTACAAATGAAGTCAATCTAGAGACTCAATAAAGGGATTACTCTTACCAACAGATGTCACTTTGAGTTAAGAGAGATTTAAGATCCTCTCTCGACATACAAAAATCAGGTTCTACAAGCCTCGTATCACGCCTGTCCTACTGTGTGTTGTAGAAGCTTTAACAATTATCAACTATATTAAAAAAGCGTTAGGAGCACTTGAGAGAAAAATTCTTCGGAAGATCTAGGGTCCCTAATGCGTTAGCAACGAATATCGAATTAGATGGGACGATGAATTGTATAAGACATATCTCTACATTCATATGGTTAAACGCATAACTATTGAGATCCTTCGCTGATTTGATTATGTCGTGCGAATGGTAGAAAATTCATTACCCACCGGTAGAAATCGTGTTAGAGGATATCCACATATTAGATGGAAAGATCAGCAAATCACTGATAGGCGGCAGCAAGTCACTGATCAGACTGGTTGGCAGAGGCTACTGGGCGCGGCTAAAGGACGACTTACGTCTCTATTGGCCAACTAAGTAAGTAAGTGTCTATATAGGCAATATATCTTTGCCAACAATTAAACAAAGTTAAAGGGGTAATAAACCTAAACGACCTGTTTTCAATATTCAATTTTACATTTGCTGAAAGTAACAGCACCACTTAGACCCCCTTTACAACACCCATGAGAAACTTTTAAATATTTTATTAATAGATAGTAAGTGACTTGCATTGACTATATTGCATTAACTCTATAATATGAAAGATATAATCTGTATTTTATTATTTATTGCATTTATTTTAATTATTGTCAGGATCTAACGTCATATTATATATATATATTATATATATATAATTATTTAATACTATTATAAAATTGGCTAATGAATAAGTTATGAAGCAATATTAGCTGCAATCACATTAACAGATATATATCTATATGTATATATATATATATCTAATAATATACGAATATTTATTATAAATATTTTTTGCTTTAATTTATTTTTATATGATTTTTAGTGAACGATAAGTAAGGTTTAATTAGTTTTTATAATTTCAACCGTTTCGGAAGCGTTCCTGAGTTTATTAATTTAGATTGAAAACTAACAAACCAGATTGCACTTTACAATATATTGTTTTGTTAAAACAATTATACTGATATTATTAAATATATATATATATCAAAGTATGTTAGAAACTTAATGACTTTTAGTTCATCTATTATATCAGAGAGATAATTGAATGTAAGGTTGAATAATAAATGTCTTATTTTGGAATAGTTCTTTGACTTGATCGCTAAATTAACTTAAGTAATTGAGTATGAATGTATATTTAGTGTTAATTTACAACACAATAATTAAGTAAAAATGGAACAAGTAAATAAATGAAAGGTGAAAATAGTTATTAACATATTTTATTACATTTTTTTATAATTAACTTCACTTGTGAAAAAATGAAATATTAATACTAAATTGCCCTTGAGCGGAGAGAAATATCATGTGACTGAACAATGAAACTTTGCATGATATATAGCGTGATCCGCAATCATTATATTTAAATAATATATTATAAAAATATGAAAATAAATATAAACATTTGCTAAATGAAGCAACGGCGACTCTTACTTAATGGATTAACGAATAAAATGCTTATGATTAAGTAATTATTACTGAAGTAGTATAACTCATTATCATATTTGAATGAAACATTTATGTGATCAAGTGATCACAGGTAGTATTAAACATCGACTCGCATTTCATTGACTCGCAAACAAGAAGAAGAATTATTATAAGACCTGGTCTATGCCCAGGAGTCACTCGTCAAATTCGACAACTAAGTGCCGTTCAGCATCTTCGAAAGAAATTTCATTGGCAGATTACTGCGGTCTACAACAACAAGAAGAAGTATTATATATATAAATTTTCGGTATTTATGTTCTATAATGTCTGACAATTATATATGTAATATATATTCTATGTACATAATTACCGGCAAGACGACTATATCTATCAATGATCTATAATATACTTAATGGAAAAAACTAACTACTACTATACTACTACTATTCCATGAAAGGCTGAATCTATGTTCCGAAGGCACTTGTCAATTTCGATAACCCAAACATACAACAACAACATACTACTACTATTAAACAAATAGCATTGTCTTAATTTAAAAAATTTCTTAGTAACCATTAAATTCAGTCAATGTCAGTCAGTCAAAGAATCTTCAGTTTCATTAATATTTACACTAAACTTAATAAAACCTTAATCAAAACTATAAATTAAAATAAACCAAAACTCACTTTCAACTGCGGATTGAGTGGTAGCAATGCTATAATCCACCACGCCCACGCTGGCCCATCAGCAATACTTTCCCAGTTATCTTCAACTGCTGGCATTTCACCAAAACTTTGTAATATTTCCTGTTTGAATTCAGTACCCAAACTTTCAAACCAATCGATTGCCTTAGCTCGTACCGAGGCGTGCATAGCACTCACAAACTTCACATTTTCATCGGATATAGTTTCATCATATATATACTCCACCTTAGCAGTCTCATAACCATCCTTTTCATTGCGCGTTAATATTTTGAATCGCTTACAGCCCACAGTGCTTAAAATAGAGCAACCATCGCGTAGCATAACACAATCTCGGATATCGAGTATGGTGCCCACATCGTAATAACGTGATTTGCCCTTGTGAGGTTGCACAATGCCAAACTGTTTTTCACCAGATTCTACAGCCCGTCGCACCATTAGGCGGTAGCGCGGCTCATACACGAACAAAGGACATGCAACATGTGGAAATGCCGTAGTACAAATGAAAACTGGCACTGATGGTTCCATGTTCATTTCTTGGCGGGAACGTTTCTCATAACTGTCTGGAATAAATCGTTTCATAGCAGCTTCAAGAAACTTTGTAACAGGCCTTTTGGCCAAACTTAAGGGTACTGGTGAGGATGCACCTTGATATAACTGATTAACGTTTGGTTCTACAAGTGGTGACATGCATAATGGACACGAGGATGTATAATCCATGCAACGATCCAAGCATACCCGGCAATAAGTGTGTCCACACGGTGTCACAACAGGCTTCCACAAAGTGCGACAGCACAACACGCAATCAAAGTCGCTGGCATCAATTAAATTGGTAGGCACCTGCATCAGTTGTTTACTCAATTGACTGCTCGAGGATTCGAGTTCTATGGAATTGAAAATAATGTTTGTTACTTCATACATTTTTATTATATATTCAACTTACTTCTTAAACGCTGTAATTCCTGTTGTGTGCGTTCAATGATGTTGCAAAATTGTGTGCTACAACGCAACTCATCGAGCGGAACTGTGGGCAATAATTCTGTCTCTTTTGGTATCCATTTTCGTCGAAAATGTTTACGCATCGGATGTCGTCGCAGCGAAACATCATAATCCTTTCCTATGCTGGGATAAGTGCTATGATAATCAGCGGCGGCTAATACTTCTTCTTCATCTGCTATGATGTCGCATTTCTTGCTACAAGCTAAGAAATCTTCATCCATGGCATTTATGTGATCCTCATCGGCATTGCGCAGTAAAGCCATTTGTTTGCGACGTAAACGTTGTTCGGCGAGTACACTATAAGGTGAGGTAGTCGAGAAACATCTGTGAGACGCAAGTTTACTCTTTTGAGATTGAGCCAAGAATTTTTGCAATGTCTGGAATATTGTTATTATTTATTAATTTGAAAAATTTTTTTGTAATGTAGATAATAGACATATAGGTAATAATATCACAGAATGGTGATACTATATAAGTACCTTTCTTTTGCAAACCGAATGAGGTTTGACACTTTCGTGATTAATAATTAATTAAAATCAATTTATGACTGTAGTGTAATTTATTAAAAATTAACTTACTTTTGAGAGATCATGCTGAAATAATTCTGTCGTGGTTAGACTAGCTGCTTTGTCCAAACTTATAGCGAGACAATTGTCATAGAGTGCTTCATCGAAACATCCCAGTTCACTTAAAGCCAAAGCCCTTAAATAATGAGCCTAAAAACAAATAAATATATATTAGAATAAATTGCAGTACACAACACAAAAGAAATAATGAATGATTCAAGATTAAAAAGGCTATTTTATTGCAGTAAATTTTTAAAAATGACTTTTTGTAATATCTAACTAAGGGTCTTGAATAAAATTTAGTTATTCAGTAGTTTCAACGGATTGTCGTCGTATATTAGTGTCCAACAAGTTCATTCGAAATCTGTGATATGTTTGCAAAAGAGTTCAACCAGATGTTGTTCAAAATAAGTTTTTAATGCGTGTCCCCAGAAAATCCCAAGAGAAGTATCATCCAATAGACTCATTCCATATCATCGTGCATAGAACACATCGACAAATTGGGGGACTTGTTGTTCGCAGACTATCAGTATTATTACTGTTATAATATCATCTTTGAGATTGTATAATCAAAGCAATTTTCAAGAGACCCCTTGTTATCACCTCTCATATCCACCTTTAAAATAGGGGTTAAAATATACCCAAAAAAACATGTTTGTCGTAAAAGACGACAAATATCTTTTGGGCGTTATTTTATAATCTTTTGGGGTAAGTGGTATGTCGGTGTATGTTTCAGCACTTGGTCAGTAATCTACTGAAACCAGGTGCCCATTTAGACATCTTTCTGGAAGAATTAATACTTCTTAGTATTAGTGTTAGCACTTATATTTTGACACAATGTGGTATTATATTTTCAAACGATTGCTGTGCTTCACAGTATAGAATTAGCATACTATTTTTAAAGTATAGTATAAAATCTCTCTTCTTACTTAGTGGGAAGTCATGTCCATGCATATGACTTTTATAAACACAAGTAGAACTTCCCCAATGCAATGACGCCATCTAACCCTAAAAGTGTGCATTTCACGAAGAGGTGTAAATCATGATATTATCTAATTGTTCAATTACTCCTTTATCCACATAAGTCTTGGGCCAACTTATCAGAGTATTGTTCCACTAAAGTAGCAGGAGTTTAGAGTGTGAATTAATTTAATTTTCCCTGCATTTTCCCTCTTCACTTCATTCCGCTCTCATCACCATATTCCAACTAAACTCAAATATTCCTTATCGTCAACACAAAATTGATCCATTCATGGTCGCACTACACAACAGTCTTGTAGTCTCACTTCCTTTGGGAATAAATCAACATGGTAGTTTGAATGTGCCTTCTGGTAGATGCAATTCGTGATAAGATGAATAACAAGAACAATCAAACATATTCTAACTATTTTCAATCCAATAAAATTGATTGATACTGTATTATTAAACATATAAATTTATTATATGAAGAAAGTGGAATGGTGAGACCATAATACAATTACTCAAAGTGATCACTTTGGATATCTCTAAATATTTATTTATTAGACAATTTATAGTCGATGATTAACGATAGTTTACGTTAAATGTTTCTATCAACGTTTAATTTTAATTTTATGATGAAGAAGCACTTGTATAGTACTCTTCATATCTATCACTCAACTAATACTTTAATTAATTGCCAAATACTTGTGCTCTGTTTCTTTTTCCTAATAGTTTTAATATAAAATCTTACTCACCTTCGCCGATGTATAACGAATTTTCAGTGCATTCTCCACATCTGCCAATGAGCTCTGAAAGTGATTAAGTTTCCGCAGCACCTCGGCGCGCAGCAACAAACTCTTGAAATTCGTGGGCGCTGAAAAAAATAAATGGAAAAAAATAATATAAAACCAATTTTTTACTTTGAAATGAGAAAAGCATAATTAATAGATAAATTAATAGACATTCAAAGAGTAAACAAATAAGCAAAAAATAAATTGTCACAATCCACATGAAATGTCAAAATGTCACAAGAAAAGATTGACAATCGTGATTTGGTGATGGAGGCACTCGTCTTACACACATAATTGCCGTCGCGCATTTATGTGACATTTTCTTCAAAAAAAAAAAAAAAAAAACAATCCCAAAAATTGGCTGACATAAGGCCTATGTTCAACACTAAGTACTTGTATCTTGTATCTTATGGTTGCGTGCAGCATGCGTCCTTATCATTAAGAGCAGGGCGCCAGTTGCATTGATATGACAATGTCGCTTAAGCGTTTTGTGTAATTCGAATGATTTTGTCAAAATAAAGCCAAAAATTAACAGTAGCTGTTAATTTTTTTTTTTTTTATGATAGAATAATTTCAAAGAAATAGACATTTTTAGATACTTAAGAACCATTTTTGACATTTCAACGAAACGAAAAGTGTGTGCCGGTCATTTTTCGCGCACAATTAGCAGTAGTCGTGCTGCTGCCAAAAATCAAGTTCTTATAGAATAAGTCTTTAAATACAAATTAAAATTTATTTATTTTTTTTTCTGGTACTTAAATCTAAATAAAATATTATACTGAAGTACTTTCATAATTTTCATGAAAATTAGTTTGGCTTCATGAGCGACGCAACTAAGTTTTAAATCGGTTTAGGTACGCACGATTTGAGATGTTGAGGCGCTGAGATGTTGAAATGTTGAGTCTATGGACACGTACTGGTAAGGAAGTTACAGTACAAAATTTGTAATACGAAAAACCACAAAAAAAAAATTAAAAATTTCTTTAGTTAATGACCAACACGTTGTATCTATAGGAAATGAAATTTTTGCTTAATAATTAAAAAATTCATTTTTTATGTTGAAGTTATGAGAAAATTTTAAAAACATTTTGTTGTATATGCACCCTAAAGTTATGTAAGTAAATAACGTTGAATTGTCTTTTTCATTCCAAGGGCATTTTCATTACAGAGTTCGTTCCCCATGGCTAAACTTGGCTAAACCATGGTTAATGCATAAATCTTTTGTTTTATATAACATTTTAAAACGTTCGATGCATTGTATATAGCGTATTTGATTAGAATATCGCGAAGAAGGAAGTTAGCAGTTAGTGCATGATCGACATCTGTAATCGACATTTGGAACCATCCTCCTATATATATTCGTTGCATAATAGTGCCGTTCAACAAACTCTAGGCCAGACCGCCTTTCTGAATAAAAATCGTATTTAGCTGCCAATTACTCCCCGTATTCATGTGGTTTAGTTATATAAGAATACCTCTCGGCAATTCTATATAATCGTTGAAGAATAGAAGAGAGACACTTGTGTAATATCTTGATAATGCCCCATAACATAGATTAACATCCGTAAACGACTATATGAAGAGAAATCTCATTTAGGTATGAACCAATCGCCGTATTTAGTGCTGTTGAAATACCTGTCACAATCTGTATACATTCGTTGATACAGGTTCGTATATTCAACAAGCTTTAAGCAAAAGTAGACATTTGTGTTAAATCTTGATAATGTGTTTCATCATACGATCGATAACTGTGGGTGACTTTTTTGGATAAAAATAGCATTTCAACACTGTCAACCACTTTCCGTATTCACCTAAGTACGCATTATTAAAATATCTATCGTGTGTATTATCTTTAGGGAATAAGGTCGTTCAACAAACCAACAGATCCTGGGCAAATGAAAACGCTACTGTAATATCTAGGCTGAGATTTAATATAAAAGATGAACAAAGAAGCTCATTGAGTCTGGAAAGAGTGAATAACTCTAAAGTTGTGGCTATTTGATAAAAGCGCTTTTATGCTGAGAGTTTCATATTAAAAACATTTACACTTTATATGTAAATTTTACATATAGTTCCTATAAGTGTTTCTCTGGGTTTTCACATTAGTATTTAAGGAATATGTATTTAAATAGAATTCATCTCTGAATTTTGTACTTCTCCAGATACTTGTTTATATACGTGTTTATTATTATTATTAAGTGCAATGTCACATATATAAAGCTGATTAGAAGAGGAATGTGAATGTAATTTACCACTAGCTCTGTGTTCTGGAGATCCATAACACAAAATAATGATATTTAATAAATCATTATATTTTATATATATCAATATATTTTATATAATATAAAAAATGATAACAAATACCTTATTTTTAAATATAATGGCTTGAAATATATTTAGTTATTTTATTTTTAAGAGTTTATCGGTTCATATAAAATTTTGTATTAGATTATACGGTTTACAGAAATTTGAATAATGTTGTTTTTGTGGAATAATATGCGGTTCAATGGCTCCAATTTGGCAGGATTCAATTCCTGACACTTGGAATGTACATATTACATACGGACAGGACAATTAAGTCAATAGACTTTTTAAAATACAATTGATGTTAGATATTTAACGGTATTCGAATTAGCTGTGTGGCTAGTCTAAGAATTGACTAAATAAACTTAGACTTTTGGATACTAAGTTCTTGACATCAACTCTTTCCTTTAATTACTAGAAATGGACATTTTCTCCATTTAGTAATACATAATACCACGTAGGAAGTGGTTTTAGTAGGTTAAAGTCTATCTCATATTGCGGCTAAATTTGAAAACATTCTATTCTATTCGGAATAGAGTTTTCGTATCAAGAGCTACCACATATTCTACTCGAAGATATATATCTTGTCTAGAGAAATATAATTTTTAACTTGAAACTCATTTATTCATATATATTTGAGAACTTATCTGAGTGGTTTTAGAATATATAATATAATAAAAAGATTATTAATAAATTATGGAAAAATAATATAAAAAATAATATTAATATTTATTTTTATACATTTACATTGTATCTAAGTCAAGAAAAACTACATATGACTGCACTTAATAGATTTAATATCTATTGTTTTATAAATATTATATAAACAGACATACTTGCTAAATCTTTAAATGACTACTCTAATTGATTAAATCAACATGATTACAAAAGATTTAACAAGCAAATTAACAGGCCATATGTTTTCATTCATATGCCGACTTTTTTTCATAATTTTTTTTTGCTTTCAATTTATTACATCATAATTATACAATTCATAATCGCTACTGTAAATCCCAATGTTATAACATTAAAGAGTTATCGAGTTAAGTAATAGAAACAATAGATACTCTTAAAAACTAAAGAGCTATGTTAAAATAAATAATATCATAAACTCTTAAAAAACGGAAGCGGAACTTAATAACAGATTTTGCTCTAATAAAATATTTTTGCAGTGCATAAACAGCATTTAAGAGTAGACTGACTGTTAAGTTAACATATATTACGTTAACGCTTATGTTATGTCAAACTCTCTCACCGCTAACGTATAGAGCATAACATAATAATGTTTCTAACATTACGCAATACATTTACATAAAAGCCAAAATGTGCATTACAAACAGTAGATGAAAAATTGGGTTAGAGCATTTTTTTTTATATTTATATTTTTTTCTAAACTGAAATATAGTCAGTCATGTAAGCAATATTTAATGTAATTGTTTTGTTAAAGTTTCCAGTGTAAACTCGTATCTTATAATGACATAAACTGAAACATTAACATGCATAATTACTTTTCAGGTGTTGTTGGCTGTTGGCTGTTGGTTGTTTGCTGTTTGTTGCTTATTGTTTATTGAAGGTTAAAATCGAGTTGTTCGTCACAAAAAATGGACACAAACGGCTGTCGTAGCCTTGCTTTGAAGCTAAAAATACTAGTTTTCTAGTGGAAGTGCATTAAAGATACATATTCCGTAGTAGGAAACTATTTTGAATTGGTAATTGCGTTTACTCTGTTTACGTTATTTGTTGTTTTGCATATATAAATTTATTTCTTAATTTATTTTATTATTTTTTTCAGTTTATTTTTAAATTTTTATTGTATTTCTTATTTTGTTTTGATAAATAAAATAATTTTTTTTTATTATATTTTTTTTTTTTGCAAAGAAATTTTTAGGAATTCAATATGCGCACTTTGCATATTTATACAGAGTGTCTTAAAACTTAATTATACATTAATTATTTATTCAAAAATATACACAAGAAGTACAAGTGGCCTGTTATATATTATATTAAAAAATAATAAATTCATTTTACATATATATGTAATTTATTCATAAATACTCGTATATATGCAAGTGGCGTGTTATATGGATATCTCACTTCCCCCACCCTTCCGGTTGACAAGACTCAGAACATTGATGCGGAAATGGCTTGATGCGTGTTGACATATGTTAACATGCGTTAAACTGTTTGTTATGCAGACAGCAGAATTCTTGGTATTCTCAATAACAAATTGAGGTGAAAATTACTTGTTCACTAGTGTAATGATGTGCTTATTAAGTCGTATTGATGTCTTCACATCATTAAGGTTTCATATGGTAGGTATGTGCAAAGTGAATGAGTCAATTTATTTGTCAAAGAAAAAATTCAAATGTTTTTATTAGAGATATCACAAGTGTAGCACAGCACATCACAATAGGAAGATGTAAAGTTAAGAAAAATTTATGGAATACAATAAATTAGAATGGATAGAAAATTGATATCAAATTCCGTGTTTAAGTATTTGCATATATATTATATTATCTTAAGTTTTGAAGAAGTATCTTAGCCAGACTGTAAAGGTTACATTAATCAAATACTAACAACAGCAGTTAAAGATAAACAATAATTTAAAAGAAAATATTTTAATAAATAGTCTAATATATAGTAATAAATGTATATATCTTCTCTAACAACAGTTGCTATAGCAGCTAATGGACGGTAGCACCTGCCTTAATATAGCAAATAACTATTGTTAAAGAGATCAAAATATTTGGATATAACTGAAGTCTGTTAGAAATTTATA